TCAGGCATGACCTTCCCTTGGTGAATCCATGCTGGCTGTTCCTGATCACTTTCCTCTCACGCAAGTGCTTCAGGATTGATTCTTTGAGGACCTGCTCCATGATTTTTCCATGCCCTGTAACATGTATTCTAGCTGCCATGCATTCTAGCTGGCAATCTCTGCAGTGTCTCCATCTTTTCAGGGGAGATATCACAGAACTTAAGACTGAGAAATTGCTCAGTTTTGTTTTGCACGTTCTAGGAAATAGCTGCATGCCCTTTTCCCCACCACAGCTTGCAAACCCCTTCCAATCCTGCAGCATTTCTGGGGGGGGACCATCCTGGTGAATAACATCACAGAGTATCTTGCTGATCTGTCCTTTGTCTTTTTGAATAAAACCATTCTCTGCCTCCTAATCACCCACTTCAGCATAACATCACAGACAGTCAGGACAGCCTAAAGGGGGATATAGAGATGATTGCTATCCAGCTCATCCCCAATGCCCCTCATAACCTCTTCTGGCACCACAGAAGCAGCTTCGGAACACAGCCACAAACAGAACTTCAAAATCAAAACAGGAACATCATTCCAGCCACCGCATCCCATCTGAACTGCATATACAGTGCATCCAGCACCCTCTTAACATGCAGACCACTTACCATCTCTGAGAGTCCCCCAAGAAGAAAAGAGTCTCAAGAAGGAAAAGTCAGATAGATAGTTTCTATCTATCTAGCTATCTATCATGTCTTGGCTGAAATATGAACAATAAGGGATTGATTTTTTTGTTCATACTCCTACAGCCACAACACCTGCAACAGCCATACCACCAAGAACAGGGCCTCTACAGACTGGCCAACCTGAAGGAGTGAAAAAGAAAGACTCGGAATGGGCTGTTTTCAGAATTCATGGCAAAATCCCAAAGGGAAACCAGACTGGCTGAGAAGTGGAGACTGTTCCTCAGGTCCCAGAGGGGGAAAGAAATGCAGCTGTCCCAGAATATCATGGCAGTCCTTAAACAAAGTGTTGCAGTGGCCAGAGACAGTGTGGCTGTGGCCAAGGACAGCATCACCATGGCAAAGGAGAGCAGGAAAAAAGACAGTGAGATACAGAGGCAACTCATGGATGCCATCTTGAGCCAGAATGCTTTTCTCCAAAACATGCTTCTGCTCCATCAGTGGGCCCTCACAACCTGTAATCTGGGATCCACCTTTCTCCTTCAGCCCCTGGACTATACTGGGTATTGGGACCAGCAGCAACTTCTCCCTGCTATACCTTTGCAACTGCTACCAGCAGACATTGCTGCATCAGAACCAATCTTTGGGCACCGAGAACACTGGCATCTGGGAACCCAGCTCTTTTGACCCCTGCAATGCCCCTGACAATTTTGAGCCAGGGCACTCAACACCAGAGCTTATGTGGACAAGAAGAGCCAGAAGGAAGTTGCATACACACCTGTTAATTTAACATTGCCCTTCCACTCTCCACAAAAAGTTGTTTATTTTCAATGTTCTTACTGTTGCACTTTCAGTTTTGTTTGCACTGTTTCATTCATTAAAGGTTTGTTTATGGTTGGTTAGTTAATAGATTGCTTAGTTAAACTTATTTGCAAATACAAAAAATATTATTTTTGTATTGGTTCCATAATTTTCTTTTTGTTTTTTATTGTTCTTTCAAAATAAAAACCACTTACAAGCATCCAGTATAATTCATTGCATTTCACTCATACATTTCTTTAAATAAAAATGAAACAAGACTCAAGATTTTCAGAAGTATACAGGGAATATTCCCCTTCCAACACCATACACAATACCCCACTGCTAAAAATAATAGAAATTTAGAACTGGTAGGGACCTTGATAGGTCATCTAGTCCAGTTCCCTGCACTGAAGTAGGACTATTAACTAACAAGGTGTTTGTCTAACTTGTTCTTAAAAACTTCCAATGACTGAGATTCCACAACCTCCCTAGGTAACTTGTTCTAGTGCTTAACTATCTCAACAGTTAGGAAGTTTTTCCTAAGGTCTAACCTAAACCTCCCTTGCTGCAATTTAATCCCATTACTACTTTCCTGTCCTCAGTGGATAAGAAGAACAATTTATCACACACACTCCTCTTTATGACAACCTTTTCATACTTGAAGACCTTTATTATGTCCCCAATCAGTCTTCTCTTCTCCAGACTAAACAGACCAATTGTTTTCAATCTTTCCTCATCTGTCGTATTTTCTAGACCTTTAATCATTTTTGTTGCTGTCCTCTGGACTTTGCAACAGTATTACATTGTTGACTCATATTTGATATGTGATCTACTAGAACTCCAAGATCCTTTTTTGCAGTACTCCTTCCTACAAAATCATTTCTCAACCTGTATTTGTGCAATTCATTTCTTCCCAAGTGGAGTACTTTGCATTTGTCCTTATTGAATTTCAGACCGTTTCTCCAGTTTGTCATTTTGAATTCTAATCCTGTCTTCCAAAGTGCTTGCAACTCCTTTCAGTTTGGTATCATCTTTTATATATTTCAGCTTGGAAAAGAGACAACTAAGGGGGATATGATAGAGGTCTATAAAATAATGACTGGTGTGGAGAAAGTAAATAAGGAAGTGTTGTTTACTCCTTCTCATAACACGAGAACTAGGGGTCACCAAATTAAACTAATAGGTAGCAGATTTAAAACAAACAAAAGGAAGTATTTCTTCACACAGTCAACCTGTGGAACTTTTTGCCAGAGGATGTTGTAAAGCCCAAGACTATAACAGGGTTCAAAAAAGAACTAGAAAAATTCATGGAGGATAGCCATTGATGGACCTATTAGACAGGATGGGTAGGGATGGTGTCCCTAGCCTCTGTTTGCCAGAAGCTGGGAATGAGTGACAGGGAATGGATCACTTGATGATTACCAGTTCTGTTCATTCCCTCTGGGGCTCCTGACATTGGCCACTGTCTGAAGACAGAATATGGGGCTAGATGGACCTTTGGTCTGACCCACTATGGCTGTTTTTATGTTCTTAACACTGCAGCACACAGGCTAACATTCAGGCATGAGCCTCAAAATATGAACAAGAGGTATCCCTGACAACATTCCCCTGAGTGTTAGCATTTCCCACAGAATGCCTACCTGACTGCTTGAATTACTGAGCAAGTCCTCATCACCTCTGCGTCCCACCCATCATTAAGGCTTTCTCCTTTGCTCTCACAAATATGCAGAACACAACATGTAGTTATAAGGGTTGGGACATTTTTTCTGTAACTTCCAGCTTGCTCCAAAAGTAGCACAATTTGCCTTTCAAATGGCCAAATGCACACTTGACCACTATTCTGCAGCTATTCAGGCAATGGACAAAGGGAAGGAATATTTTAACTAAGTGGCTTGTGAATAGCTTCATTAGCCAGGGCATCAGGGAATACGGTTGTCTCCCAGAGTAACCAGACCAACATCCACCCCATTAGTGTCCAGGGTGCTCCAGGGCGGCAAACAGTCCTTTCTCCATTCATCTAAATAGTACCAAGTTTCAGAAGATCCTAGCATCATGAATCCTGCCAGACCACCTTGCATTTATGTCTATAAACCTGCCATGGTGACCAACCAGCTCTTGCAACATCATGGAGAAATACCCCATTCTGTGTATAAATTCAGTGCTCAGGTGGCAGGGAGCAGGGGTGTTAAAAGAGAGGCACAGGAGTTCCATCAGTTGTCCCATTACAGCTTTATGATTCAGTTAGACAGCACCTTATCAATGGCATAGCACACCTGCATGAGAATGGCCCCAGCAGTTGATCTCCTCACACTAAATCGGTTGGCTCCAGACTGGGGTTGCCGGCTTCCACATGGTGACCCACTTATCCATAGGTATGGGGCACCACATGTTAGTATGTTGTTGCTGCAGCTCCATTCTGCACAGCCCTAAAAAAGGGTAGCTCTCCCCCTCCTGAAGTTCTTTTGCCACTGCTGGTCCTCCCAGGTTTGCAGAACAATCCTTTCCCACCAACCCACGCTGGTTTCCTCATCTTGCTCCCACTGCTGCAGAGTGTCTTCCTGCTGCTTGGTATTGTGACAACAGAAGTCCAGTGCTGAATTCATCCAGGTTTGACTGCTGTAATATAGCCCAAGCAGCCTCTGCGTATTTGCACTTGCCACCATAGCAGCACAGACATTGTTGGTCCGTGCTGGCAGACAAGCTGAAAATGGCATGCGCCTGTCCAGAAACAAAGTATAGGGCAGAGCCAGCTGAAATATGTGATTTAAAAAAAATATTTGAACCCGCCTAGTTTCCCAAAATTCACAGTGAAACAATTTCAGAATGCATGCTGCTCAGCAGTGAAGCAAAGGCCCCAAGGAGAACACTACACCCTCAATTTGCAGCAAACCAACACCAGGTGTTATCATGATAAAAACTGAAAACAGAACAGGCAAGTTAGTGGAGCAAGTAGTGCACTGCAAGTTACCTGCTGAGCATCAAAATCTTTGGATTAGCTCTATCCCACCCCGCTTCGATGCCTTTGAATTTGAAGAGAAGCCTGTTGCAAATGCACGAGATCATTGCAGATTAGTAAAGTTAATGGAATTGAAGATGCAAATTCTGTATTCATTCTGAGAAACTGAAAGCTGGTAAAGGTAAATAAGGTGGACTGGTCAGGACTGTGACAGGAAAATGACCTTTAAGGGGGAAAAAAGATGATGGATGGGGTTTCCAAGAGCAATCAGTATTGGCCTAACGGTTCCTGTTGAAGTAAGTTTGCATTTTACTGTTGGCGTCTTTTTTTTTTTTGTTTGGTTTTTTGCTTTGTTTTCAAGTGTTTATTAACAAGAGCAGAACTGCAACACTAGTGCAAGCACCTTACATCTTCTCCTGATCAGAATACAGATTGAGCAAGTACAAAAAAAGATAGATATGCCTGATCAAAGAATGCTTAGTGTTGACCTAGAGCTATTATGTAGAAATCCATGTACATAAAGAAATAAGTTCCATGAGGTCTGCTCTGTACAGATGTGCTTTTCAAGTGTCAGTCAAGGGGGGACTAAGTCAAGCTCTCTTGTAAACCTGTGTGCATACTTGGTCCTCACAGCGGAGCTCCAGATATAGCTGATCTCCTTCAATCCAATGAGTCCAGCCCCTGTTCTTCTTGTCTCCAGTCTGGACACAAACAAGCTTGTCATTGTCCCAGGTTACTATACTCTTGCATTTTCTATGATCTAGGCCTTTATTGTCTTCCTCAAACTCCTCTCCAATTTTGAACTGGACAAAGTAACTTCTGAAAGTGCTGGTGGTTTGGATGGAGAATGAATTGCCTTCCTGTTCAATCATCTTCTGTGGCTTCAGTATTTTTGCTATCTTGTGAGTTGCAAAGTCAATACCCAAAGCCAGCATGTAACCCTCAAAGTTGTCACTGCTTGTGAGGTTCCAGGTGCCACTGAAATCCACAGGCATGGCTAGGCTGCTAGAGCAAGAACCCCAAAGGGAAGTGTGCATTGACCAGAGAGGAAGGACTGTTGACGTTAATGAGAATATAATTAGGCCAATGCTAAGTTGCTCTTGAAAAATATCAGACCTCCTCTGCTTTTTAAGCCTTTTGCCTCAGTAACGAGTGCAGGTGCAATCTTCTTGTCTTTTCATGAAAAACATCTTGCGACCACTGGAGGCAACAGCAAATAAAAGAGCATCTGAAGGAACAAATGAAGAGAACCTGTGCTAAAATGTATTAGCTAAAACTTTTTGTTTGATAATAGGACCACTCCATCTATCAGGTATACACTGTACTCCATATTCACTTTGTAACTGCTAACTTATTTAAAAAGCTGATTCCTGGCCCGTTTTCTATTAGCACCCAAAACTGCTTTACAGTTACCTATTAAATCTTAGGTTATTTGATCTTTACTATGCATGAATGGAGTTGCAAACACAAAATTTGTGTTGGAAAGCAATCCACTTCTGCTTATCTTTATGTGAGGACATTCTTGAAAATCCCTTGCTTTACCCATATCCCTCTTCAGTAATAAAGCAACAGTTCCTGAGGAATGTGCTGGTAATTATCGGTTTATTATCTGATGGCCTGAGGCTAGAATGAGAGTAGAGAACATTCTTATAAAGCAGGCAGGAACTGCAGTAATGGTAAATCTCTCTGGGATTATTGCTGTTATGAGCCATTTTCAGAAGTTTATGATGCAGATGTGCAAGCTTGAAAGCACCCACATTCACATTAAAGTACTCACAGATATTTTAGAATTAACAGCTTTTTGTAATGTCATAGCCCTTTCCACCCTGCATTTCAAAACACTTGCTGTACTATTTCATACTCTATTTGCCCTGGGGCTGCTAATATTCTGTAGATCGCCTCTCTTCTCACCTTTTATGAGAAAGTGGGAGTGTCACATTAGATAGATGTGCCTTCACGTGCTTTCCAGAACTCTGTCCTTCGTAGAGTTAGAAATCCTAAAGCAAATTACAATGATCTAATACTAAACAACAGAGTTCACTTTCCAGTCCTGCCATGACAACTATTTAATTATGAAGTACTCCACTTCCCCGGAAATGTCCTCTTGGAGAATTTACTTTGAACATTTCCTACCCCACTGGATTTGCCCACATCAGGTATTAGGAGGTCTGCAGTGTTATATTTTGTAGAAGTTATTTCTTTACAGAAAGGTCACTCCGGGAAGCAAGAAAGCTGGCTAAACACAACCCCAAGTTTCTCTGTATTTGCATTCCCATAACTGAAAGCCTCTGCACAATCTTTGCGTAGCCCTGTCTCCAGGTTTGAGCTGCTAAATCTGAAATTGGATGGTTCCACATTAAAGAAGGGGGAGTGCCTAGAGCAGTGTTACTAACAGATTTTTCAGTTCACTGGCAAATTTAAAAAAAAAGGGAAAAGTCATTTTGGGTCAAACTAAAATGGAAGCGTTTCAAATTTTTGTGCAAACTGAAAAGGTGGAAAAATGTTCATTTTGGATTGAAAAGGAGTACTTGTAGCACCTTAGAGACTAACCAATTTATTTGAGCATGAGCTTTCGTGAGCTACAGCTCACTTCATTGGATGCATACCGTGGAAACTGCAGAAGACATTATATACACACAGAGACCATGAAACAATACCTCCTCCCACCCCACTGTCCTGCTGGTAATAGCTTATCTAAAGTGATCATCAAGTTGGGCCATTTCCAGCACAAATCCAGGTTTTCTCACCTTCCCCCCCCACACACACACAAACTCACTTTCCTGTTGGTAATAGCCCATCCAAAGTGACAACTCTCTTCACAATGTGTATGATAATCAAGGTGAGGGAGTGAGAGAACCTGGATTTGTGCAGGAAATGGCCCACCTTGATTATCATACACATTGTGAAGAGAGTTGTCACTTTGAATGGGCTATTACCAGCAGGAGAGTGAGTTTGTGTGTGTGTGTGTGGGGCGGGGGGGCGGAGGGTGAGAAAACCTGGATTTGTGCTGGAAATGGCCCAACTTGATGATCACTTTAGATAAGCTATTACCAGCAGGACAGTGGGGTGGGAGGAGGTATTGTTTCATGGTCTCTGTGTGTATATAATGTCTTCTGCAGTTTCCACGGTATGCATCCGATGAAGTGAGCTGTAGCTCACGAAAGCTCATGCTCAAATAAATTGGTTAGTCTCTAAGGTGCCACAAGTACTCCTTTTCTTTTTGCGAATACAGACTAACACGACTGTTACTCTGAAACCTGTCATTTTGGATTGAGTTACATGTGTTGTTAACTTTCAAATGGTCTTTTTTACTGGTGTAGAATTGTTTTATATAAAAAATCAGGAAAAAGTGAAACATTTTTGTTCAGAAAATGTCTAAATGAACTGTTTTGACTTCTTGATTTTTGTTTGTTTGTTTTGGCAGGGAGGATGCATTGCCACAAACAGAATTTGGCAAAAAAAAATCCAAATTTGTGAAATGTCTGTGTCAATTAATCTGCATGAATTACCACACAGAGAAAGTTTCATCCAAAAAATGTCTTCCAGCTGTAGGGGTGCAACCTTAAGCCCCTGTTTTTTCCCCTTGGTCATTAGGCATTCTCATTGATCTGGAAGCCTTGTGGCAGAAGATTCATTTTTGACTGGGAATCCTGGGTAGGGTAGAGTAGATCCTAGACAGTTCTATCCCTTCCAAAAGGATTGAAGTTTTACTCTTTCCTGTGATAGTGTGTGTTGAATGCCTTAGGAACAGTCTAATATCACAGCAGTTGTAGTAAAACAAAATTTATTCAGAACACAAAGAGAAAAGGTCAGATTAAACAAAATACAATGTCTGCACAAGGTATCTAGTTTTAAATGCTGCATAAACTAATTCAGATAAGTCTGTTCTGTATCTTTTCCAGAAAGTGATCTTTTTTTCCTATTTTGTTCCTGTATCCTCTGTTCTGGTGGCCATTCTGCCTGTCAGAAAGACAGCCCTCAGTTTCACGACTGGTATCTTATCTCTTCCTTCCTCTCCCAATCACCTGTCTTTGTCCCGATTGTAGTCTATAAATCTTTAGATCTCAAAGGTAGGCATACCCCACAAAGGTATTTAGACGAATGTTCTCTCTAATAACTTCTCATGAAGCATCTATTGAATATTTCCCAAATCCATTAGAGGTTATAATCACTCCTTTGTAAAAACAACTTGGACATGTCTAGACTAGGAAAATAAATTGTGTGTAAAGATGTGTAAGATAACACATGTTAATGACATATTTTGAAACACTAGCGTAGACCAGCGTTAGCGCCTCTAAAACTTGTAAAAAGAAAAGGAGTACTTGTGGCACCTTAGAGACTAACCAATTTATTTGAGCATGAGCTTTCGTGAGCTACAGCTCACTTCATCGGATGCATACCCGATGAAGTGAGCTGTAGCTCACGAAAGCTCATGCTCAAATAAATTGGTTAGTCTCTAAGGTGCCACAAGTACTCCTTTTCTTTTTGCGAATACAGACTAACACGGCTGTTACTCTGAAATCTAAAACTTGAGTCTTTAGGCAGGAGTCTAACCAGTAATCGTAACCAGTCCACAAGTTTTAAGATGCTAAACCCTGTCTATACTCAGTTTTAGAAACGTTTGTTAAAATACGTTAGCTACTGTGTTTTTAAATACAACCTATTTTCCTGTTCTAGATATTGCCTTTGTGATTTTCCTGTTCCCTTTTCATAAGACATTTTTTTTGATGTTGTAACCACACAGCAGCTGTCCCTTACTCCAAGAGCTCTTTTCTTTCTGTTAAGCCTCATGGTTTGAAAATTTCAGTTCTGGTGGAAGTGTCAGCCTGAATCTAGCTCACTCCCTGCCTCTCTCTCTTATTTTTATCCAATCTGAATTATTGATAGATTAAAGATGAACTGTCACAGTAAAGAGCACAATTAAGATTTCCTCTTGTTCCCTAAACCTCTGGGAAATCTTACACAGCAGGGGTACATTTACCGTAGCCTGTAACTGGGAAGGTATTTGCTATGAGGCTGCACTAAGGAAATATGCAGTACGAAGGCTGGTTTCTATTACTAATATGTGTTTGTGAAATTATCTGCATATGTATGACTGTGTACTCCTGCTAGTTGTTTTCATATCTGGCTGGTTCATTTTAGCTTGTGATTTTTAATTTGCAATATGCAAATCAAACTGACAATACATTGCTTTCTGATGTGGGCAGGCTTCCAGCCACCAAGAGTCAAAAGCTATCACTCCTGTTGCGCAGAGTATCTTCAGCTACATTCTGTCTTCTGCTTGATCTTTCCACATTCCCTGTTCTGTGCCTAACTGAAGCATGTTTATTGAGCTGATTCACAAATTATTACAGAGAAAATGAACAAAGCTAAAAGTGAAATGGTATACCTGAAGACCAATCTGGTTTTTATCAGAGCTACTATCACGAAAAATTGCATCCATTTCCCATTGGGCTGTGATGTGATCAGACATGCTTACAGAGGCAGGTTGGAGTGTGGTCAGTATTTGATCAGTCTAGGGTCAAGACAATTTCATATCTGGATGGGAAAATTGCCACGAAAAATACAACAGTGCTGACTCGCCTCATGGGAATGACCTTGAGTTCTCTGTGATTTTGGTGCCTTTTGTATACGATGCCTCAGATTGCCTTTTCAATTTTAAAACAAAGGGATCATTGGGAAAGATCACAGTGGTGTGGACATTTTATTCACCCCTGAGGAGAGAGGAAAATTGAAGCAGTATTTGGGGGAAAGCTGGCTACTCTGTGACTGCCCCTGAAAAAGACCAAGATCAAGGTCCACCAAATTATTTGTGTCATGGAGAGAAGAGCTACTGCCAGAATGTGAAGCCACCCGTTAACCAAAGGAAGGCCTGGTTTCAGAGTAACAGCCGTCTTAGTCTGCACCTTAGAGACTAACCAATTTATTTGAGCATAAGCTTTCGTGAGCTACAGCTCACTTCATCGGATGCATACTGTGGAAAGTGTAGAATATC